TGCACATGAATCCTCATTATATCCAGCACCAGTCTCTCTCTAGAACTCCACTCTTGCATCCTATTGTAGATCTCCAGCTGGATGGCATTTCAAACTCAATGTGTCCAAAACAAGCCATTATCTCTCCTCACTAAATGCTCCTCTCTTCCTAACTTGCCAGGTTCTGTTGAGGGCACTTCCATCCTTCCAAACAAGCAGGTGTGCAGTATCCGAGTCGTCCTTGAGGCTTTCCTCTCTCTTACCCTTCATATGCACTCGCCCTGGGAACTAGCATTAGGTCAGAAAAGCTTCTTGCAGAAGGTGGGAGTTCAGCTGACACTTGAAGGTAGCAGAGAAGCCAGGATGGGGAGCTGAGGAGGGAGAGCATTCCAGCCATGAAAGTCAGCGAGGGAAAACGCAATTCCATGATGGAGAAGTGCCTGCAAGGAACAGCAAGGAGGCAGTTGTCACTGACTCATAATGTGTATGGAGAAGAGGAAGGTGTAAGAAGACTAGAAAGGTAGAAAGCAGCCAAACATGGAGGGCTTTAAAAGCCAGAGGATTTCATATTTTCTCTTCATATTACATTTAATAGATTTGATATTCATGTTATATTTATATTATATCATTTTCTCTGTCATTGAGTATCATCATCCTACAGCAGTGAGTGGGCTTATCTCTTCGGACCATAGATTAAGATCTCAAAAAGCTATCTAGTCAAAAGCCCTCATTTTAGAGATGAGGAAACTGAGGTTCAGGGTCATTAAATGATTTCTCAAGGTCCTAGAGGTATTAAATAGCAGAGCTGGGATTTTAAACCAGGTCTTCTGACTCCAAATGGAGTGCTCTTTTTACTCCACCACACTGCCTTCCATTTTGATCTTCCTCTTTTCCATAATAGAGCTTTAAAAAGCCCAAACCAACCCTTTTTGCTGTTCTCAGCTTTCCTTGCCAGTTTCACTATATTTTGATCTTTGCTACTTGACAGAATTCTTAAAGGACTATGTCAAGCTCTGTAGTCAGCCTTCTTTAGCTGCCCTTGCTTACATCCTCTGTACTTTTTCAAGTTTAGGGGAAATAGCTAGTAGTCCAATCTGGTTGGAATGTAGAGCATGGGAAGATGAGTAATATGAAATATTCCTGGCTAAGTTTTTACTTTATCCTAGGGACAATAGGGGGTCATTGCAAGTTTTTGAGTAGGAGAGTACATGGACAGGCCTTTGCCATGGGAATGTTATTTTGTTAACTATATGGGGAATGGATTTGAGTGGAGAGAGGCTTAAGATGGGTAGACCAATTAGGAGTCATATATTACAATAGTCCAGGCAAGAGACACAGGGTTATAAGTCTAGAGCCCAAAGGGGCTTCAGACATCATCTACTCCAACCTCCTCATTTTATAGATGAACAAACTCAGGCTCAGAGAGGATAAGTGTCTTGACTGAGGTCATACAGATTTAGGAACAAATATTTATTAAGTATTATTTAATACATAATTTTTCAAAATAAGAATTAAATTCAGTAAACACATACAAAGCACTTAGTATGTATATGGTGAGGCAGCTAGGTGGTGCAGTAAATAGAGTGCCAGCCAGTCAGGAGGACCTGAGTTCAAATCCAGCCTCAAATACTTACTAGTTGTGTGATCCTGGGCAAGTCACTTAACCCTGTATGCCTCAGTTTCCTCATCTGTAAAATGAGCTGCAAAAGGAAATGGCAAACCACTCCAGTATCCTCATCAAGAAAACCCCAAATGGTGCCATGAAGGGCTGGACATGACCAATTGACTAAACAACAACAATGACAAGAAGTATATGGTAATGTGGAACAGTGTCTATTTTTTGCTTCTCTCTGTCTCCCCAGGGCTTAGTACAGTACCTAGCACATAGCAGCTTCTTAATAAATGCTTGTTCCCCTTACCTCTCCTTGAGTAAAGGGACTGGTGACTTGTTGACATGACTTAGAGATTCAAAGATGAAAAACATGTAACCTACAGTCTAGTAGAGATGATTGGGCCCTTAACATGAGATAGTGAGACAGTAGGAAGATCACACAACTTAATCTAGTCCAGAGAAAGAGGAAAAGAGGAGAGAGGATGAACCAGAGAGCCCACTGGAGATGTACAGGGAACAAAAAGGAGGAGGGGTTCATGGGATTTAGAACTGGAACAAGCCTTACAGATCATCTTGCCCAACCCCTTCATTTAAAAAATTATAAATTTGGTAAAATCAATAAGAAGAAACAGACAAAACTAGAGTGAAATTGTATCCCAAGCACTAGGCTTTAACAAGACGTAATCAAACAAATTGACCAACAAGTAGTTGGTTGGTTGATTGGTCGGTTGCTGTCCTTCATTCTCAAAGAGCACCAACTGGACATCACTATGTTGGGGTTAAGGTACAGTGTTTCTGACTGTGGCTGGCAGACCGATACAAACTCAGAGCATTCTGCCACAGGTTGGCATGAATATCTAGAGAGGGATGTCTCTAAATTTGCATATCTCATGTTTCTTTTGAACTACTTCAATTCTGCTTTGCTCATAGAGTACAGTTTCTTCTTTGATGTGGGTATGGCATGCTGGGTGTTCTTGTGCCAGAGTCTTCTGTGGCTCACAATCAATTCCAAAATTCTTCAGACAGACCTTGAGAGTGTTCTTGTATCCCTTCTTCTGACCTCCTTGTGAGTGATTGCCTTGTATGAATTCTCTGTAAAATAGTCTTTTAGGCAAACATACCTTTGGCATTCAACCAATGTGACTGGAGTTGCGCTCCCAGCAGTGGAGTTTGAACGTTTGGCAGTTTAGCTCGAGAAATAAGGTACTCAGTGCCGAGTACCTTATTTTACCAAGTTATCTTCAGAATCTTCCCAAGACAACTCAAATAGAAGTAATTCAGTTTCCTGGCATGATGCTGGTATAATGTCCAGATTTTACAGTCATACAACAATGAGGTCAGCACAATGGCTCTACAGACCTTCCGTTTGGTAGGCAGCCTAACACCTCTTCTCTCCCACACCTTCTTTTGGAGCCTCCCCAATACTGAGCCAGCTCTGGCAATGCATATGTCAATGTCATCTATGTGTACATCCTTGGAAAGTATACCCCAAGGTAAGTGAACTTATCTACAGCATTCAAAAATAAACAAGTAATCAAAGAAAATGCTTTTCTTCTGTGACTTGTATTCTCAATATCTAATACAGAGCATTGAGCATATTCAACTCTTAATAAGTGTTGATTTGAACTGTCTTTTTTAGGAGAGCCCTAGGTTCTGTCACCTTTGTGACTTTTATTTCCTTCTTTTCTTTAACACACACACACACACACACATCCTTTATTTTACAGATGAGGAAACTGAGACTTATCTCTCCTTCCCCCACTCTATGGTTCAGCCAAATTGACCTCTCTGTTCCTCAAACACATACTCTATCTTCTATGTCTGTGCCTTTGCATTGCCCATTCCACCCCACTCCCCCAATGCCTTCTGCTTCATCTCTCTTTCATAGAATCCCTCACTCTCTTTAAGACTGAGCTCAAGTAAGATCTTCCACAGTAAGCCTTTCACCCTAGCCACTAGCACACTCTCCAACTATCTACTGTTTATTTTGTATATATATACTTACAAATGAGGTGGATGATGTATTCAGGGAATACTAGAACCTCTAGCATGAGGGCTTGCTAAACCCTTTTCAGGGCTGCTCATCAATTACCTTTGGGGTTCACCTGTCACCCAATGCTCACCTGTGGCTCCAAGAAGCTATAGCATAAGCAGAAGCTACCCCCAGTAAAGCTATCTTGGCAGACTAGTTAAACCAGCTTGAGGGTAACCAACAAGCCTTAAACCTGTTGGTGAGTTAGGGGGATATCTCACCCAAGCATACGATGTCTTCCAAAATGGGCTTATGAGAACATTTTGTTCCAACATGCATAAAGGTGGCTAACGCAGGGCTGTGTGGAGTGCCTAGAGCTTGGTCAGACATGCAAGACGTCAAGACCATCCACTGCATCCAGGGCCATCACCAATTGTCCTGACTTTTGTCTTGGCATTGGACTTTGATTACTCTGGAAGACAGAATGAAGCTGACAACTTTGTGCAACTCTGCCTCACTTAAATCCAATTCACACACAAGTCATGACATCACCACCTGCTATCATTGGTCCTCTTGGAAAGGAAGAACAATGACACCAATGATACACACATACGTATATATGTGTGTGTAGACATGCATATATACAGACACACTTATATACATGCACACAATCACACTTTTCTCCCTTCTCACCTCCCTTTGAGAGGAAAGAAGTTTTTTTTTTGGTCTTTGTATCCTCAGCAGCTAGTATGAGTGCTTGGCACATAAGTATTTAATAAATGCTTGATTTACTGATTTTAGACAAGTAGTAATCTTCTTGGGCTTCAGTTTCTATAACTGTAAAATGAGCGGGCTGGACTTGATGATCTTTAAGGAACCTTTCTTTCCAGCTTTACATTTATGATTTTTGGAGACACTGAGAGGTAAAGAGAGTAGTCCAAGGTCACCCAGTCAGTAAGCAGTAGGGTCAGGATTCAAACTCAGAGGGAAAGAGTGTGTGTGTGTGTGTGTGTGTGTGTGTGTGTGTGTGTGTGTGTGTGAGCGTGCGTGCTAGGTTCCAGGTGTGTGTGTGTGGGGGGGGTACATCCCTAGGTTCCAGGGATGTACCATTAATGGATATGGGGGTGAGAACGCCCTCTGGGGATGTACCACTCGGTCGCACATGGGACAAAGTGTGAGGTGATGAGGCATCATCGGATATAGGCCACTTACAGGCCATGGGGAGTAATTCAGCGGGAGACAAAAGTGACGTTCATCATGATTTGTAATATTGATGCATGGTGAGAGAGAGAAGGGAAAGGGAGAAGGGAAAAACACTCTACAGTTGCCTCGAGAAAGTGAAAGGGGTGGGGAAAGGGAAGGGATTCAGGCACAGCGCGCAGACTCAGTACTCCGCCGGCGCGTTGTGGCCCGGAAGTGCTTGCTGCGGCCCCGCCTCCAACCCCTCTTAGTCGTGCTTGGAGAAGCGCCGCCTCCTTTTTCTCTTCCGCCGCTTTCACGTTTGCACTCGGTAAGGGTTTTCTCTGCTCCCCCAAGAGCCCTCTACCCCCCCCCCCCAGCCTCTTCCGCGGTAATTTCTCAGATCCAGGGCCGGGCCACTGTTCGGGGGTGGGATTCAGCCGTCGGCCAAGCTCCTGGGCTGGCCGGCAGTGTCCGGGCGGGTCGGAATCAGTCCTCGTGGTCGGTCCGAGAAGGAGGGAGGGCGGGAGGCCCCAAGACGGGGTCTGTGCTCACTCCCAGCCGTCGCTCTTTGCCTTCCGCAGGCCACTCGGCTTCGGACATGCAGAACGACGCCGGCGAGTTCGTGGATCTGTACGTTCCCCGGAAATGGTGAGCAAGGGCGGCTCGTGCTGTGCCCCCGTGCCCGGACCCCGATCCCCTCCCCCATGCGCTCCCCACCCTTTCCATGCCTTGGTTCGGCCTCCCACCGAGCTCCCCTGACTCGGACCCTTCTCCCCGCAGCTCCGCGAGCAACAGGATCATCGGGGCCAAGGACCACGCGTCCATCCAGATGAACGTGGCCGAGGTGAGCGCCGCTGGCCGGAGGGGCCGGACTCCGGGGGTCACTTAACCGGCGAGTGAGACCAAACTAGGGTCAGCGTGGGCACCTGGGAGCCTAGATCCTTGTCTCGGGAGAGGAATAAATGGAGGACTGGAGACAGGAACAGCAGTGGTTAGCTCTGAACGTAGCACTTTAAAAATTTTGCGAGACGCATTGTGTGTTTTAGCCTCAGAACAGCCCCAAAGTTGGTGCTGTTACCCACATTTTACAGATCAGGAGACTGAAGCCAAGAGAGGTTAAGTGACTTGTCTGAAATCATGCCTCTTGTTTAAGATCACGGTAAGTTAGTGTTGAATCCAGAACCAGAGTTCAGGTCTACTGGCTTCTCAGCTGCTTGATATTGGTCTTGAAGTTTGGAATCTTTAATCTTCTGATCCATGGTTTAGAATTTAACGTTGGGAATGAGTAGCTGTAATATAGTAAGATACACAGGGATGGAGACCTGCTGTAGCCTAGAAAACAAAACAAAATAAACCTGTAAAATTGATGATGGGCTTTCACCAATGAGCAGATGCTTAAATGAGACTATGGAGATTCAGCCTCCATAAGTTGTTGATTAACGCTCACAAAAGATATTTCAGCTGAAGTGGAGTGTAAGATAGATTTATCTTTAGTACAATGCTGAATAATTGCCTTTCTTTGTCAAGCAGTAATATCCTAATTCTAAATTTACTTAGAAAACCACAACATGTTGCAACAAATTCTGCGTGCAAATGGTTGGGTGTATTTTTTCCAAATATTATATGGAGGTGTTTTTTCCATAAATAGCCTATAAAAAATGGAAGTAATTTGTTCTAATTGAAAAGTGAACCATAATTATCTTCTTTTAGGTTGATAAGGTCACAGGCAGATTCAATGGCCAGTTTAAAACTTACGCCATTTGTGGAGCAATTCGTAGAATGGTGAGTAGTTTTTCTCTTAAGTAGGTGACAGATTTCAAAACAGTAAGCACATGATGAGAAAATGGAGAATAAGGTTTGAGAACTGTAACTTGAATATGACTGGTGGGATCACAGGTCTCTACAATGCAGTCTGTCTACTTACATTCTGACAAAAAAAAATGTGGGTCCAGTAGCTGTTCTAGTCTTGTTGAGTAAAGAAAAGATTTAAGGTGGAGGACAAGGTAGCTGTTATAAACTACTTGAAAGAGGTTAATATGTGGAAGAGGGATTAAACCAAGAACACATTACAAAAGCACCTTTTAGCTTGATTTAAAGAAAAATTTGCTTAACAATTTGAGTTGTCCAAAAGTCGAATGAGCTATTGGGGAGCTGCTTAAGCAGATTACATGATGGAGAGAAGATTCCTAGTTAGGTACAGTTGACATTAGATTGGATTAAATCTTGCCATTTTTAATCTGAAAAAGCACTGCTATTTGCCCTGCAGCTGTAGTTGAAAGACTTTAGGTTGGTTGCCAGATCCAGTGCTTCCCCCCCCCCCCCAAGTCAGTGATACTCAATGCCTACCTCACATGTAAAGCATTCTGCAGTGCTGTCCCTACTTTGTTATGAGGTTTAACATGTTCATAATCTCACTGGATTTCTGGAAAAGGATAACCTTTTTAGTTACCTGAAATTTAAAATCTTATAGTTAATTCAGTATCAGATAAAGCTAATTCAAACTAACTTCTGTTTAAGGGAGAATCTGATGACTCTATTCTCCGGCTGGCAAAAAATGATGGTATCGTTTCAAAGTAAGTAGATCTGTCACACTTGAATATACCCTTAGTTTTTTTTTTCCCTAGGTTTCATAGTTTTCAGTAATTTTTCTTCTTGTTCCCCTTAGGAACTTCTAACTGAAGAAATCTTGTGGAAAATGTCTTAATAAATCAGAAAAACAGCATTGTGTGTTGATTCTTATGTTAATAGTTTGCAGAGTTCAACACTTAAAGTGACTTTAGCATTAAGAACTGTTTAACTGTTCCCACTATTAGCCATCTCAATTATCACCTCATGTATAGAGAATGTGTGAGAAAATATATGTATCAAAAGCAAGTTTTATTTCACAGCATCTCAATTTCACGAATTCATCATCTTACTGCTGAAAACAGACCAATTACAAGTGACTCAAATACAATGACATTTAAAACTAGATAGTTTACACAAATTTACATTAACCTAGTGCAGTTGTGCTGAAAGAAAGCAGCACTACATATTATGGCCACAAACCCAAATACTTAAACACAGACAGCTCAAACATTCCAACATTTTTTCCTTGAAAAGTTTTAGGGCTTAATTTTGGTTTAAATATTGGCTTTGTTGCAGTAATTCTGTGCTACCACACAGTGGCAGCTTTTATATTACTAAAAAGGGTACATTTATTATAACAAGGCTTTTGAGCCAAATAGGTTACATAAAACCAATTTGGCAGCTAAAATTGAAAACTACACATATATACACACAGTTAAACTTAAATTACTGTATTTGCCAACAGTTTCACTATTGGCCATACAGAATGTTTAGAGGAAAGTACCTAAAGTATATGTTGTAAACCATAGAGCAAATATTTGGGAATCATACCCTTACAGTGCTTAACATGTATTTTATAAGTACCCTTTTGAGACAAGATTTCAATGGCATATAACTTATTTTTTAGAAGACTCAATGCACAGTAGGTATACATAATTTCATAGTTAGGCCAGCCAAACTGAAGTAACAACTTTAATAAGTTTAGGCTGGCTCCTTAGTAAAATGGATAAAGGGACAACCTCATGGGGAAAATAAGTTTAAGGTGCTTATAGAAATAGGATTGTTATTGGCTCACTGAAAAACTGAAACACTGTCCCATAAAAAGTATTTGAGCATAGCATAGTTCATACTTTCTGTAGCTTCCATAATATACTCATCTGTAGATGATTCCAAAACTACCTTAGCTATACTGGTAGTATTATCAGGCAAAAAACGATTTTGATGGACAAGATGATAAATATACCTGTTTCATGCTGATTGTTCCCCATCCCTGCCTCTATCAAACTAGTTCATTACCTGTAAATGTCATATGGTGTAACAACCTCAGTAGAAAACAGAAATCTTTAAACAGCTGGGAGCTAGTTAAACAAAACAGACTAAGGGACTAGTAGTCTGGTATGATATGTTTGAAAGAAACAAAACTAGGAAGGGATGATGAGGCGTGCAAGTCCTGTAGTTCAAAGATTTAGGCTTGATTGGACCTGGGTTAATTTACCTCAATGTGTGTCTAATGTGCCCAATAGCCACCAGCACTTGAGAGGCCTAAATTGTTTGGACAGAAGACTGGCTAGTATCCTGGCCCTGATTTCCAGACCGTATTGGCAACAAGTATTTTGAGTTTTCCCCATAAAGAAACTTGTTTCAGTTCTCATATATGTCAGCATGCTTTTCAACTGTGTGGAACTCAGCTACGTTTATCATGCGAATTAATTTTTCAGAGACATAATTTGATAAAGATTGACCTGAATACTGATCATATGTTGCATACAAATTCATAAAATATAAGTTTACAACCAGTTGATATCGCTGTAGTATATACTGTGTAAGACATAACATCAACTATTTGAAATTTGCAGCAATTAAAGTCTAACCTATGCCTTTACAAAATTGTGTACACAATTTGATACTGTGTGTACAATATTTAATGTAGCCTAAACAGGCAAAATAAGTTTACAGTACTTCCCTCTTTGTCTTCCAGAGTAAGGTATGGTATTCAAGTTGGTCTTAAGTAAATTCCCTAATCAAAAAAATCCAATTATTTTTGTTTGCTTGGAAAAACCAAAATGAATACCAATTTTCTCAATCACAATATTGCTTAGGAAAAACAAAATCCAATAATCAGCAAGTAACTACTATAGGACCAAAGTGTTGCAAATTTTATCCAAACATTTGTTTAGTACTTGAGTTATATGTCATTTTCCTGCCCATGACAGTCATAAGCATTGTACTCAAGTCTTACAAGTGCCTGTTTGGATATGCAACATGCCAGTTTCAAGAGGAACATCACAGTGGCAGGATGTTTGGAAGAACAGAATTCGAGTAAAAAAATACAATTAAAAAACTTCAAATCTTGTTTCACTGGCTTAATTTGACAGCAAAAACTGTAACTGCTGACACCTGGGAGAACTGCATGCAAAAAGTAGTCAAAAAGGTACTTTGCTTTTGGTACTTAAAACAATGACAAAGTCCATCCTGAAGTGACAGAAACCCTTTCAGCCAACTTACTTCTGCAGCTCAAGTCTGTTGACTGCAATTACCTTCATCAAGTATGACTGCATGATGAGATATTTCCCAATATTTAACATTCTAAAATATTAACTATCCCTTTACCCATATATTAATGCTTAAATGAGTAATTTCATCATCGATGAACCAATTGTTCAGGATCTAGAAATCCAGATCCCATTGTTATACTAATGCAGTTGTGGAATTCTTTTCTGAATGCAAGGCAAATACAGGTAAGGATAAAATGCTATATAATTTCAGAATTTATAACTTATGCAAGAAAAAGACTGGTACCAGACCAGTTTCAGGCACATTAAAAAAAAGTGTGCATTTAGTTCATATAAAAAAATGCAGGAAAAATTTCAAATACCATTTTAAGTATGACATTTTGGAATGAAAAGTAATGATGAATAAGTAAGAAAACAAGATAAATATCTTTTAAAGGAACAATAGCATAACATCCTTTGAAAGGAAGAAAGAACAGCCACAGTGACAACTACATCATGAATTACTTGTGCTTTAGTGTCTAAAGGAAATAATCCTTTCTGTGCCAATAAACCAGTTTTCACCCAACAAATACTCAACTATGCCACTATGAGAACATACATTTTAACTAACTGAAAGCTGTGATGTAATAGGAGCACACAAAAGATTAATAGGAAGTGGAAGCCATTCAGCAGCAAAGCATTCTGTAAATCTTCCTGCCAACTGGGTAGAACTCGGCTTTGGCTACGACTGCTGGGTGAGACGTCTATAATGAGGTAAAACTTGGTTTTCAGGAAGGTAAAGGGCCAGTTCCAGAGCCACAAGCACTGTAAATTCAAATCCAATTAGATCTCTTCGGTTGAATCGGAATCGTTCTTCTAACTTCTGCATTGAAGAAGAAAGAATAAGATTGTTATCTCCATTGTTTTTCTAGTTAGGTTAACAGTCATCACTTTGCTCAGTTGTGGCTGTTGCTTTTTTTCGGGGTGAAACAAAAACAAAACTGAAAAAAAAATACTTAATTGCCTTCATGTCTAAATCTGAAGACATTGGGATATTTCTGTTAATGACTTAAAACATTTCCAAAGCCTGGGAAGAACAACTAGTAAATGCACAAATCATCACCCTCCTTACGTCTGTGTTGTAAAGGATAAAGATCTGTTAGTTTAAGTGAGACCACCTTCCTTCCAGCTGCCATTATGGGGAAAATAGCACCAGTCTATATTTATATTTGATCTTTAGCTCTGAATTCTAAAATTCTATGTCCTTATACATATGAATTTTGAATGTCCTCTCATCTTCCCCCAGCAGTGGATATCAGAAATTAACCCTAGTTAATGTCTGTTGCTAGTAGATACAGGTGGAATTTAGGAAACTTGTAGAAAGCATTTAGCATGCTCTGACTAGAAGAACCAAAAGCTGGAACTGCTAACAGGCTTGGTACATACACTTCATGTTGTATCATGAAAATAGCAGAATTCTGGTTCTACTTACATCAATGAGCTGCTTTACTTCATTTTTCCTGAGGTCGCTGCTGATCTTTGCTGCAAGGAGCACACAAGCACCAGCACACAGTTTGCGGTTCTGTTTGTTTAGCTTGCCTTGTAAGACAAGCTTCTCAAAGTAAACATAAGCCATTGACACGGTAACTGGTTCGAGGTTGCATTCTTCAGAGAGATTCCTCATTTCCCGTTTTAGGCTGTGAGTAAACAAAAACCAAATCATGTTTCTGGTCATGAGGCGGCATGGATCCTAACAGTTTTACAGACTAAGCAGTTTTATAAACAAGTAGATGATTACCTTCCTACAAGTTTAAATGACTGCTAGCCCAGCTTTACTCATGTTTTTCTTACCTTCTTATTTTACTCAGCGTAAGTTTGATGTGAGGAAACTTCTCTTTAAATGTTTCATTCATGTCCTTTTTAAGGTCTGAAGGTTTCACATACTCTATCACGGTAGTCTGAAATAGGAAAGGAAGTTGCCTGTCATTTAAGACATTTTCATATTTGAACATTTACACTGCTTCAAAACCAATTTACCCTCAAACCCTAGCTCGGCCTCTCCTACTGCCATTAACGATTATGGGGACAGCCTTGAGTGTCAAAATGAAATGTCACTGTTGAGTTGTTTTCATGCCAATGCTTGTTAAAAGCCAGGTTTATGCAAATAAATCTGGACTGTTTTCAATACCTTAAAATTCTTTATGGAAGGCAGTTTTGGGAGATTTAATGAAGTGAAGATGAAGAAGCAGGGTTTAGAATACAGAATTAAGCATGAGTTCTGTGCTGCTTAGGGGGTTAAGTAACTGAAGAAAAAGAGAAAATATTGCTGACTAACTGTTCCCAGACTGCCAAGAGGCACAAGAATTCCACTAATTTTTGTTATTTATAATCAATCTTATTTTTCTTGAAACAAGTTTCTTAGCATAATTCTAGTTGCTAAGCTATTAATCTGAGGTTTTAAATGGGAACCATTTGTCCAAAATGAATGCCACTTAAACATATATGACCATTAGTCAATAAGCATTTATTGAGTGCCTACTATGTGCTGGGAACTGTTTTAAGGACTGAGGATTCAAAAAAAGGAAAAAACAATAAAAAGTCCTTGCTTTCAAGGAGTCCACTGAGGGGAGACAATATGCAAACCACTATGTACAAACAAGATATATAAAGATAAATTGGAGGGGGTAGCTAGGTGGCACAATGGATAGAGCTCTGGCCTTGGAGTCAGGAGGACCTGAGTTCAAATCCGGCCTCAGACACTTGACACTTACTAGCTGTGTGACCCTGGGCAAGTCACTTAACCCTGATTGCCTCACCAAAAAAGCCAAAAAAAAAAAAAAAAAGGATAAACTGGAGATCAGGGAAAGCAGAAGGAGGATTGAGAAAGGCTGCTTGTAGAAGGTGGGATTTTGGCTGAGAAGCAAGGAAGCCAGAGATGAAAGAAAGAATTCCAGTCATGGTTATAAACGAGTGAAAATGCAAGCAGTGGGGACATGGAGTTTCACGTTCTCAGAATAACAAAGAGGCCAGTCACTGGGATTGTAGAGCAGGGTCTGTGTGTGTGTGTGTGTGGAGAATAGAGAAGGTGAGAAAGGAAAGACAAAAAGTAGTTGGGGGCCAGGTTATAAAGGGCTTTGAATATCAAACAGAATTATCTATTTGTTCAAATAGGGGATTAAGTGGAGGAGAGGGGTATGACATGGTCAGACCTACATTGAGGAAAACTGATTTGACAGCTGAGCGAAGAATGGACTGGTGTGAGGAGAGACACTTGAGGCTGGGTGATGGACCAGCAGGCTATTTCAATAGTCCAGGTACAAGGTCATGTAGGGCCTGCACCAGGGTAGCAGCAGTGTCAGAGAAGGAAAGGGGATATATATCAGAGACCTTACATCAATAAAATTGACAGGCCTTGGCAAAAGACTGGATATATGGGATGAATGAGGATGACACCTATGTTGGAACCTAGGTAACTAGGAAGGTGGTGGCAGCCTCACCAGTAAGAGGGAACTGATACTAGAAGAATTTAACTACTTAGCCTTAATTCTGTGTCCAATTTTAGAGGGTAATGCTACTAATAATATGTTTTCTTCATATATGGCCACATTAAAATCCACTGTTGTCAAATCTCTTTTGTAACATGGTTTATTTTCCACTAATCTTCCTAACGACAGATACTCAAAGGTTTTACTAATCTGATTCTGTAGCATTGTATGCTGTCTTCAGAGTCAGTGTTAAATTAAGCAACTTTTTTTTTTTTTAACAGAATGAACATTCTAGCACCTTGACTGATTACACAATCTGCCACTAAACCAATTCTTTAGTAAATGCTAGACACAGGAAAAGTACCACTGTTCAATTTTCATACACTTTGTTGTTTTCTTACCATATATGATGCAAAGATAAGAACACGCTTGTGTTTCCCACAGGGCCACTGAGGATCATCAAGGAGATTAGGATTATATTCTATTGAATCACCTGTCTCACTCCCTAGAAGAACAAACAATAGCATCAGGCATAGGAATCGGTCAGAAACTGCTTTCAAATAAAAGGTACCCAGCAAATGTTTGGTGTTATTTTTTTCCCCTTTAAATCACTGATTTCAGTTTCAACTTTTTTTTTTAAGTCACCAGCAAGATGGACAAAGTACTAGACTTGAAGTGAGGAAGACCCAAGTTCAAATGCTGCTTCAGATACTTTGTAACGATGCGACCTTGGATAAATCTCAACTTCTTTCACCTCAGTTTCTCATCTGTAAAATGGGGATGATAATAACACTTACCTCACAGGTTTAAGATCAAATAAGATAACGTGTAGTGCTCTGTAAGCCTCAAATTGGTATATATGTTACTAATGATAACAACAATAATATTAATATGATTAACTGAGAAAAAAGTTAAAGGTTGTTTATAAGGAACAGGAAAAGATGTTAGATTACTGACCCCTACTTCTAGGGGTCAGATAGGAAAAGCAGAAGTGGGTCTAATAAGGCCATTCATTGAGAATTTCCTCTTCTTCCCTTCTCATCTCACATTACCCAAAGGCCTTTTGCTACTATCTCCTCCTTTACCCTTGTCTCACATGAAGAGGTGGGCCTTCTCCTTGCCAAGGCTAACCCTGTACAAGTGATCCTCCGTCCCATCCTGTCTTCTCCAACAGATTGCCTCCTCTATCATCCCTATTCTCTCACTTATATTCAATCTCTCCCTGTCTACTGGCTTCTTCCCTACTGCCTAAAATATACCAGTGTCTCTCTCATCCTCAAAAACCTCTCATTTGCTCCATCCATGCCCATTAGCTATTGGCCCATATCTCTCCTTTCCTTTGTGGCTAAACTCCTTGAGAAGGCCATCTAACCACTCAGTTAATTCACTTCCTTTCCTCTTATTCTCTTCTTAACTTTCTACAGTCTGGTTCCTGATCTCATCATTCAACCAAAATGGCTCTCTCCATATCTAACAATTTCTTAATTGCCAAACCTCATAGTCTCTTCTCAATCTTCATCCTTCTTGACCTCTCTACAGCCTTTAACACTATCAATCACTGGCTTCTCCTTGATACTATATTTTCTCTAGGTATTCATGACATTATTTTCTCCTGCTTCTCATGCCATCAATCTGACCACCCTTTAGGCTTCTTTGCTACATCTTTTTCCAAGGAACACTTGCTAGCCATGGGTGTCCATAGGGCTCTGTCCTGGGCCCTCTTCTCTTCTCCTTTTACACTATTTCACTTGTTGATTTCATCTGCTCCCATGGATTCAATGATCATTTCTATGCTGATAATTCTCAAATCTATCCAGCTTTAACTTCTCTGCTGACTCTCAGTCTCATATTTTGAACAGGATGTCTTATAGACCCCTTAAACTTAACATGTACAAAACTGAACTCATTATCTATATCCTCGAATTCTTCTCCTACTGTTAATGGCACTATCATCCTTCCATTCACCTTACGCTTTCAATCTCGGTGTCATGACTCCTCACTTTACTTCTCTTATTCCCTATATCTATGTTGCTAAAGCTTGTCATCTCTACCTTCATAACATCTTGCATATACATACCTTTTTCTCCTCTAACACCATCTCAACTCTGGTTCAGACCCTCATCACCTCAAATGTGACCTACTGTAGGATGTATATACAGTTGGTCTTCATGGCATAAGTGGATCCTAAAGTGAGACTCTGATCACGCCATCACACCAACATACTCAAACTCCAGTGGTTCTCTAGCAACTCTAGGATCAAATATAAAATGCTCTGGCAATCAAACCCTTCATAACTGTCACCTTTCCAATCTTCTTCCATTCTCCCAATTCCCCAACCCCACTCTTTGATCTAGTAACACTGGCCTTTTTGCTATTGCTGTTCCTTGAATAAGACATCCCATCTTCTGGCCCCTTGCATTTTCACTGGCTGTTCTCCATGCACGAAATGTGCTCTCTTCATCTTTGTTTCCTAGCTTCCGAAAAGTTCCAATTAAAATCCCACCTTCTGCAGAAATCTTTTTCTGATCCCTCTAAATTTTAGTGCTTTCCCTCTGTTAATTATTTCCAATTTATCCTCTATATAGCTTTTTTGTACATAGTTTGTTTGTATGTTATCTTTCTCATTAGATTGTGAGATCAAGGACTGTCTTTTGCCTTTCTTTGTATCTCCAGGGATTAGCACAGTGCCTGGCACACAGTAGGCACTTAATAAATGTTGAATAACTGACTTATACTATAGAGTGAAGGACTTAATTTAGATATTATGTTAAATTGAAAATTTTCCTGAGTGGGAGGGAAGCTGTAAAATTTCTTTCCTTAGATCTTTCATGGAAAACTAGAGCTTCATCGCTCTGAAATGGGATAAGTGTGTTCCCAGCAGATGGACATAAATGTGTGTGTATGTTCATACATCTCAGTTTAGGAAAATGCCAGCACACCAGCATACCCATCATTGGCATTTCTTTGGGTTTATATACTCTCATAGTGAGGAACAAGGGCATAGTCCATTGTGGAAATTCTCCTAGGCATCTGCTTAAGGTAGAGAGGGTCAAGTGTGCATGAATTTGACTGAATGGTCGGGAGTCGTGAAAGGGTGTGCCTCCATTGAGTGGTAGGAGAAAAAAAGACAAATGTAAATTCTGAGTCAACTACAACATTTAGATAGGACACATGGATGGAAATTATTTTTCCAACTAAAACTGAATTTGCGTATTTCTTCCCTGTTAAGTGAAAATGGAAGGAAACAGTGTTTCTACTAATGAAACTCTTACACAGTTGTTACAACAAATGCTGCACTAAGGATAATAATGAGTGAAACTGTGGTGAGAATCAGTAAATAAACATACATGTACAACATCTCCACATTCACTTTTGGGGTATTTTTTTTATTGGTTTTCAGTTTTATTTTTGTTTGTTCAGTTTTTCTTTTTGTTCTTCACATATGTATTGATGGAAGGCAAATTTTGTCAAAAATAAGTATTAACAATACCATACAACTATAAAGTAATATTATCATGTCACTGAAGTTACTTGGTGAAGCAGCACTCTCGACAAATGGTTAATTTTTAAAGCTGGATTTCCTTTTGTGAGATCTGAACCAATTTAGTCCTTACCACAAACACTTAAAAACAACACAGGCAACATAATAATTAATGTGTACCTGCAAGTCTACTAAACAATTCTAAGATAATTTTCCCACATTTAATTTTAAACATTTATTCTTGGCTCCCTTTAATTTCTGTTAAGGCTTTATCAATCTGCTTTCTCCATTTCCTCCAGTATTTATTTTTCTGGGTGTGTATCCCAGCATATTAATGCTCGTCTTAAGTTGGCTTAATTTCAGCTACTGGTCAGGTCATTATTGCTGGCATGCTAAGTCTTTGTATAAAATAGGCTTATTAGATTCACTTTACTTTTTCAGTCTCCCCCATCCCCAATCCATCCTTCACACAGCTGCCAAAGTGATATTCTGAAAGCACAGATCTGACCACCTCTAGGATCACACATAAGCTCTTCTGTTTTCCATTTAAACTCCTTCACAATGTAGCCCCAGCCTGCCTTTTCATGTTTTCACATATTACCTTCCTTCTTCCACTCAAGGATCTGGTTAAATGGGCTTTTCTTGCTATCCTTCAAACATGGCCCTCTGTCTCCCTCCTTGGTACCTTGGACCAGGCTGCTCACTTCTCCTCTAGAACTCTTGCTTCTTTCAAAGCTCAACTCAAGTACCACTGTGAGACTTTTCCTTATCCTCTCAACTGCTAGTTCCTCCCTGTCAGAAATTCCAGTGTATTTACTGTGTATATATTTTGTATCAATTTGGGTGTGTACATGTTTCTCCTGACAGAATGTAAGCTCCTTGAGGGCAGAGATTGCTTGTTTTTGTTTTTATTGTATCAGTTCTGTACACACAGGTTCTTAAATAAATTCTTGCACATTGGTTAATGAACTGAAAGAAAACCTTATGATATAAAACTTCCTACCTAATTCTGTGCCTGATGGCACAGATTTGGCTGTTGCAGATTTGTATCTTGACCCAGGCAGAGTCCGTGGAACACTGGATCGAGGCTGAGATGCTGCAGTGTGATTATCACTCTTATGTGTGACAAGGGCATTTGTAGGATACAAAAATTTTGCATAAGATACTACCTGAAAAACAAGTTCATGTTCAGTATTACTCTTCCTCACTTGACTGAGTTAGATCAAAAAATAAACAGCGCTCTCCTGCCCTCCAACCCAAGATTCAGGAGGTTTTTCTTGATGTTGAATATAATGTTGATGTAGAATGTAAAAATCAACCCCTTCCCAACTGCTTACTCAGGATGAGGGGAAAGAATCATGTTCATAGGCTCTCTTTTCAACTTCAAATGTATTTCCTTTTACTCACATCAGTAGTCCAGTTTTACCCTACTGAGCTCCTATGAATGGAAATTAATGTCTACGTCTGGGTTAGTTCCACAAGGAATTTTACCAGTGAAAAACCAGCATCTGAATAAAGTCCACTTATACATGATCCAAATGAATATTTTGTGTATATTACCATTGTTTTGATAATCTAGAGTATTCAATCCTGCCCACTATTCTACCATTTCAACATTTATGACTTCAAATGTTCCCTATGAAGACTTCACATAATATAATGAAATTGAAAAGATTAATGCTGTGTGATATGAGATTTAAGACACCTTCCTCCAAATAAGAGGGGATCTGCTTATATGACATTTTTGTTTATGTTAAAGTAGTAGCTTAGTATTCAGCTTACTTAGAAAAATAAAATCAGAAGTGCAAATGGCAATATAATACATAAGTCTGTCTTCCATAAGTTTGTATAAGTGTCTCTCCTATTTATATCTTTCAATTAATTATAAACATTTACATACCAAAAGTTAAAATTTTTAAATAAAAGTTTAAATGTTTAGCTCTTTCAGTATTTTTAAAAATTCTGAATTCAAAAATACTATAGACAATAGTTAGCATTAGTTACTGTGAAAATATGAAGACTACTCTCTTACCTTTCCATCAGCACCAAGCTCAACTCCTTCCAACACAAAGACCATCTCAGAAGACACTGAAACCCCACCAGATGGATGCCTCTGTTTCTGGCTTTCTGTCTTCATGTCACTGTAAAAGTATTTAGATCAAAGATGGTATATTCTAGGATGATGAAGTTCTTTCCTTTTATAGTAAATGAACTACTGAGGCGGGGGAGGGGAATTGGGAGAGGAGAAAAGAGGAGAAAGGAGTGGCTAGATTTTTTTTAAACATCAATACTGATGAAGATGTTTAGATCATTTTTTTTTCCTCTTTCTCCATGAAAAATCAGATCTGGACATCTATATCAATAAGCTACTGAAAATACAAAGGAATAGAATCTGAGTGTTCATACAAATAAAATTGGGTTAAGACTATTTAAAAGATAAATAGCATCAAGAGATATTAGGAAATTCCCTAACATTGTATATTGATTCCTTTTCGTGATGGCTACCAATCTGCTATATAATACCATTTTCTATAAATCAAAATAAAATTTGTATTGACCAATAAACATTTAGTGAGCACCATTACCTACCTTTGTTTAAAGGAATGTGCACATTTCACAGGCAAATTTGTAGGTAAAATCAAATTGTAGCAATACACAGCCAGTAAGGTTTAGAAGCTGCCGAAGTAACTGGTGTTTTCCCACACTAGGGGAAGAATGGTTTTCTATTATTGACTATTTTTATAGTATGTTTGCACACAATACTATTTCTACTGCTAAACATCCGTTTCCTTCCATAAATTATGTACGGGACAATCAAGTGGACAGGATGTGAGCGAATACAATTGTATTCCATGTAAAGTGAAGGAACAATAAAGGCAATCTATATATAAACAGGTTTCCAAAAGAAATAGTTAAAAAAAAAAAGCAACACAAAACTACCTCAAAATGCTAACAGAACATGAATAATTTTAATTAACAGGAAGTTGAATTAGATCAAACTTTCACTGAATTCTGAATGCTTTCTTCTGTACTCTTTGGGGGATAATTCTCCATTAAGTGTAACAGGTCTGAGTTTAAGAGGGTGAGCTTTATTGCTCTATTCTTAACAAACACACACTTCCCCTGGGTTGTGTTGTCCTGGATAGCTTTTAAATCATATCACATATACCACACCTTGTACAACGCTGATGCTCTTGTTATCAAACTTAAACGTTATGGAAGAATACACAGTGCTCATTATGCAGATGTTTTTGTTGTTCAATTGTGGCCCACTCTTTGTGACCTCATTTGGGGATTTCTAGGCAAAGATACTGAAGTGGTTTGCTCTTTCCTTCTCCAGCTCATTTTACAGATGAGGAAATGGAGGCAAATGGAGTTGAATGACTTGTCCAGGGTCACACAGCTAGTAAGTGAGGCCAGATTTGAACTCAGGAAGATGAGTCTTTCTGACTCCAGGTCCTTTGTTCCATCCACCATACCACCTAGCTGCCCCAACATGCAGGTGTAGAGGTGAGCAAATTATAAATTACATACCATGTCTATTGTGAAACTTGTCAGATTTATACAATTAAAATCATTACTTACCTGATCCGAATGCTTTCTCCATAAGGCAAAACAGAAAATGCTGCACACAAGGACCTTTTAGCACAAATCAGAACTATCCTGAAATGCAATGGGGAAAACAAATGATATAGGAAAGGTCCACAAAATTAGAACTATAAGCATACTCATAAATAGTGTAAGTAATTCAATTTATACAAGCTGGTTTCAATTCATCTCTACAAATGTATTAATAATATCTGGTGATTATATAGTGCTTTAATGTTTATAAAAAACTTAATACATTATCTCTTTTGGTTCTCATAGTAACTACTGAAGCTGGAAGAGATTACATGTGCCCAAGATGATATAGTTAATAAGTATCAGAAGTAAAATTTGAATTTAGGCCTCTTAACTCCAATGTTCTTTACATTATACCATGCTTCCTCTCAGTTATGTACTATGTGCTTAGGCTTTGGCTTAAATATTTTCTTTTACCTAAAAATGCAAGCACATATTTCATTCTTAAAAATTCGGAAGATGGAAAACTTTCTAAGTTATTCCCTCATTTAGATACTTAAGTCCAGTGGACAAGAAAAGGTTAATGTCACTGATAGAACTGTGGGCCACCTCAAGCACAGAGTCTGAAGCCGCAGGTTCCTGCTGAGTAGTGATTTTCTTTTGGTTATTAAGGGCTTAAGACTAATAGGTGGGGATTTGATCAGCCAGGGCTAGTGTCTCTCTTTCTCTACCCACACCAAATCTCATTATAATGGTGATAATTACTGTCAATAGCTAACCCTCTGAGCTCATCATGGATGACTGAATTATACACACTGCAACATTTCTGGCAGATTAACAAGAGGGCTCAGGAAAGAGTCTCCATGTTCATACTGAACAGATGGCTGGATAGGGTTATTCCTCACTTTGGCCATCTCTACAGCTTCACCAGCAACCTTCCTATCCTGGGGTCTTGCTCTTTAGATGAGTGACTGTTTCAATTGGTGATGCAGTGATTGGTGATTCCTAATTCGAGGAAAAATTCCAGCCATGATTAATTTACTCTCCAACTCTGACCATCATGACCTCCATAACCTCAAGAGCAGTCTTCCTCCTCCTCAAAGGTATCCTTTCCTCTCCCCTCCCCATTCTGGAACCAAGATCAAATTAACTCTGCCAACCTATTCCTCTAGGGTCCTATTCCACTTTTTGGGTAGTTTCTAATTCTTGGAATTTAAGCTCCTTGAGTTGTGAGACTGTCTCTGTTTTTTGTATGTGTATCCCCAGAAAGCACTAAAAATGCTTTCCCACTCATTTTTGGTTATTTGCTCATGAAAAATTATTTACTGCCTAAAGCAAAAAGCAAGGCTTTTGATAGGCCAATGATCCAATTAATGAGATAAAGCCTTAATATTAAGAGTCACAAGACCTTAAAGTTAAAATTTTCTTCCTGTGATCCAAGTTTTTAACACTCCCCCTTCCTGTCCTCACCACTACTGAAACTTGAAGATGGCATATTATAGATAGTAATTGTTTAACAAAAGCTCACCAAATAAAAATATCACATTTTTTATTTTTTGCTCCACAGGCCTGAATGAGTGAGAGTCACTTTGTCCAATAATGTACTTTGTACTCTTAGCCTCACAAGTACATTTCATTGGTCACAAGAAGCAAACTGGCAATGTAGCAGGAACACTAGCTTTGGAATTACGGTTCACAGCCCAGCTTTGTCACTTACTATCGACCAGTAATATTGTGGTCATCCATTCCCTGGGTCTTAGTTTCCTCATCATTAAATTGAAAGTTTTAGATTTTATGACTCTTAAGGTCTCTTCTAGTTCTGAATCTATGATCCTAAAGGATTAGGCAAGTGTGAACCAAACAAAATTATAAGAATAAGCCCTTCCCCAAATGATAAGTAGTCTAAAGATTATGAAAAAGCAGTTCTCAAGTTCCCAAGCTATCTACAGTGATATTAAAAAATGTTCCAAATCACTAATTATTAGAAAAACACAAATTAAAGCAACTCGGAGGTTTTATCTCAAACCCAGCAGATTGGCAAAACAGACAAAAAAAGAAAATGACGAATGTGGGAAAACTCAAAATCCATGTACTGCTGGAACTATGAACTGGTTTAAACCATTTCACAAAACAACTTGGAATTATGTCCCCTCCAAAGTTATTGCTCTTTGACTCAGTGATACCACTATTACAACTAGATCCCAAAGAAATTAAAGAATGAAGAAAAAGACCCATATGTACAAATATATTGCTAGCAGCTCTTTTTGTGGTGGAAAAGAACTAGAAACTACCAAGTTTCCCATCAATTGGGTAATAACTGAACAAATTATAGTATATGAAAGCAATGAAATACTATTTTGCTATATGAAATTAAGAAAGAGTTGGTTTTAGAGAGACCTGGGAAAACTTGTGTGGAATGATACACAGTGAAAAGAACCAGGAAAATGATTTATAACATCAGTATTATAAAAATGAATAATTCTGAAAGACTTCTGAATTCTGATGAATGAAATAATCAACTACATTTCTAGAAGACTGATGAACTATGCTTACTTGATGGATTAATATGCAGAATGAGAAATGCATTTTGGGATGTGGCCAATTTGTTTTGTTTGATTATATATATATGATACAAGGGCTCTTCCTTTTTCTTTAAGCATGTGGCAGAAAGTGTGATGGAGGAAAAAATGTGGGATAATTGAAAAAATATTTTAAAAAATCCAACTTGGTGCACGTCACCTTTATAATATGAAGCATATCACAAATAATTCAGAGTAGGTCAAAAGAGCCAGAATTAATTTATCAGGGAAACTTAAGTAAAATTAATTTCATCTTTTCTTCTATCATAAATCCTAATTCCTAATTTCCAATTAAAACTAAGCCAGCATTTCTTTTTGAAGTTCTATTGATGCCTTTTATTTTTATATCAATTTTGAAAAAATATCTTACCCACTGCCTTCCCTTTGTAACAAATATTAAAAAAGAAAGAGGAAAAATAAACAGAAAAACTAACACATTGCTTCTGACAATATATACCATTTGACACAAATAATCCCCTCTCCTCTCACACCTAAAAGTTATGCATTCTAAAATACCTATTTTTTATTGCTAGCCTATACCCTCTATCGTAACTTTAACTTCTCTTTTAAATGTTTACTAGAATATTGCTATCACATTTTCTAGATTATCACCAAAAATTCCAAGACATGACTTGTAAATCTTACATGTTTTAAAATGAGAACTTCCGTGTGTGTATATATGTATATGTACACGTATATATTAGTAATATGGAGAAGGAAAGAAAAGTTGACCTAGTAAGGAAAAAGAAGAATGCTTATTTCTAAATAGATATATTTTTTCCTTTTCTTTTTTTTTTTGGGGGGGGGTGAAGCAATTAGGGTTAAGTGACTTGCCCAGGGTCACACAGCTAGTAAGTGTCCAGTGTCTGGTATGAGGTGGGATTTGAACTCAGGTCCTCCTGACTCCAGGCCTGGTGCTCTCTCCACTGCGCCATCTAGCTGCCCCTAAATAGTTATATTTTTAAAAGATACAACCAAACTGCATCTGTTCTATCTGCATAAAACTGATTCACTTCACATGAAGCCTTCCTTTCCTGATGCCTTAAGCTGATAAGGTCTTTCTTCTGGAATTACCTTGTATATTTTATACCAATTTATGAAAACAGCTAGTGTTTATATATTGCTTTAAGTTTACAAAGCACTTTACATATGTTATCACATTTGATTCCCATAACAACCCAATGAGGTGGGTGCTAATTATTGCCCATTTTTTCTGCTTTCTTAATGTGTTTTGTTTTCATATTACAAACATTCATAGATTACTCCCACTTCGTGAGAAGTGTCTTGTAATGAAGTAAAACAGTTAAGTAAAATCACTAATACAGTAACCTTATTGAAAGTTCATGCAATATTTCACATCTGTAGTTACCTTCCAACCTACCCCAGTTGTGGTTTGGTCATTTTTCAGTTGTGTCCAACTCTTCGTGGCCCCATTTGGGGTTTTCTTGGCAAAGACACTTGGCAAAGATTTGTCATTTTCTTCTCCAGCTCATTTTACAGATGAAGAGCTGAGGCAAACAGGGTTAAATAACTTGCCCAGAACCACACAGCTAGTAAGTGTCGGAGGCCAGATCTGAACACAGGAAGATGAGTCTTCCTGACTCCAGGCCTGGCACTCTATCCACTCTGCCACCTTGCTACCTGGTGGCACCCTCCCCATCCCTCCCTTCAAACAAAACAAATTGGCCACATCCCAAAATACTACTTCTCTATTTTAAGAAAATGTACAGAAATCTATTTTTTCACTCTCCCATACTCACATGCCATCAAAAAAAGGAAAAAAAGCAAATTTCTTATAGCATACCTATAGTCAAGCAAAACAAATTTCCCCAGTGGCTGTACACACACACAAAAAATGTTTTATTCTGTAACCTAAATTCATCACCCCTTTGTAATGGATAGTATATTTCATCATCTGTCCTCTGGAATCACGAATGGTCACTATTGATCATAGTTTACAGCTTTCAAAGTTGTCTGTTTTTACAATGCTGTTTAAAATGTTTTATTGGATCTGCTTGTTTCATTCTTCATTAGTTTATAAAAGTCCTCAGAATGATTAATTTTTATAATATTGATGTTTTAGTGTAAATTGTTCTGTTTTTGCTCACTTCACTCTGCACCACAGCACAATAATATCCCATCATATTTATATACCACAACTTATTCTGCCATTTCTTAATTGTCGGACATCCTCTTAAGTTTCCATTTTTTTTAACCACCACAAAGAAAGCTGCTATAATCATATTTGTACACATCAGACCTTTTCCTCTTTCTTTGATCTCTTTTGGGTATATATCTAGCACTGGAATAGCTTTGGGAAAATGTGCTCTTTAGTAACTTGTCTTGTATAATTACAAATTATTTTCCAGAATGGTTGTACCCATTAATAGGTCCACCAACAGTGCATCAAGGTCCGTGTTTTCCCACAGCCCCCTCCATGTTTATTATTGTCCTTTTTTGGTCATCTTTGCCACTATGATGGGTGTGAGTTCCCAACTATAGATGAGGAAACTGAGGTGCAGAGGAGTTAAATGACTTGTCCATATTTGAATAGCTATTAAGTGTCTGAGGCAGGATTAGAACTCAGATCTTTCTGATTTTAAGTACAACACTGTCCACTGTGCCACCTAGATGGATATATGTTGTTTTTCTTGATGGAATGAGTTTCCTGAAGGCAGGGATGGTTTCATTGGTGTCTTTGTGTCCATAGGGCCTAGCACAGTGCCTGGAACATAATTAATGTTTGTTGATTAAGCAAGTGAATAATTCACTTAGGCATAGAGATGGTGGGGTGTCAGGGACAGTAAAAAGGACAGTTTGGCTGGACCATAGAATACATGAATGGAAGTAGTGTGTAATAAGCTTAGTAAAGGAGGTTAAGAGGACAGCGAGGCGTCCCAGTAGATGAAATGTCGGGCCTGTAGTCAGGAAGACCTGAGTTCAAATCCTGCCTCAGATACTTACTAGCTCTATGACCCTGGGCAAGTCACTAAACCCTGTTTGCCTCAGTTTCTTCATCTGGAAAATGAGCTAGAGAAGGAAATAGTAAACCACTTCGGGATCTTTGCCAAGAAAACTCCAAATAGGGTCACGAAGAGTTGGACACAACTGAATAATTTTAAAAAAACAGGTTAAAACCAGGCTATTTAAGTCTTTAAATGGCAAACAGGCGCTTGTATATAGATCCTACATGTAATAGAAAGTGTTTCTTAAGGAGGGGAATCACAGTCAAAACTATATTTTAGGGATGTCATTGGAAGACAGGAATTTCAAGTCAACTTGGGTACTTTCTGAAGTTCTAAGATTCTACTACTGTAAATGAAGCCTCCTTCCCCAAACCACACATTTAATGATTTGAAAATCTTCATATATTAACCTACTCTATTGGTTCTATGATTTTAAGTAGACTTGTAGAGATAGGTGTTTCACCTGAATATATACTGTAGAAGAAACACTCAAACCATGTAAAGAACATTACGTTCCCATATTAAGGTAATAAAAAAAATTAAAGGTCACCTGCTATTTTTTGTGTCATACTGTCTCATGTTCTTAATAAAATGAGTCTTCTTCAAGCCTTTGTGTCTTGGTGATCCAGATATGTGTTTGGTTCTGCAATTGAAAAGGAAAAAAATAAATAAATTCCTTTCCACCCCCTAGACTCTTCAATAGGGATTGCATGATCAGATGGCAGCACCAGCATGCAGGACCTCCGGCACTTTTCTCGGACAAGGGTAGCAGGGGGAAAAGGAATGCATGCAACAAGATTAATGCTGCTTTGAAAGAGTACCTTTGTACAGTGGCATATTCCACTATGTCTTCTAAAAATTCTAGAGAACAGCGCTGGGAGATAAAACGCCTTCTGCAAAAATGTACACCAACACGAAGAGTGAACAATATTAATTGGAAGTCACAGTGAATAGAAACTAAAAAAAGTCAGTGAAGGATCCCTTAAAATATTTATCAAAAAAGTAAAAACAGAAAAATATAAATCCTCTCAATAGTCATTCTTTAAAATTTCAGGAAAAAAGACAGGCTCATTAGTATGTAAAATTCAGCTTAAAAGAATGGGTCAACAAGATTTTTATTATCTATTTTAATTAGAAGACCTTATACTTAAGTGGGATCTATAAACTAACCAACGTGGGTAAATCCGTCCATTAGTCCCGAACAATCCATCCATACCTTTTCATTTTTGCGTACCTTACTCATGTTTTTTTCCACAGATCCTCCAGAAGTCTTCCTCTCTAACATCACATTTCTTCCCCTCCAACCCTACCTTCCATACCCACTTTGGTATTAGAGTACTTTCTCAAGGTCTTTTTACATTTCACAATACAATGGAACCACTCTAGTGGTCTATTTGTTACCATTTGCTCTTGTTACATGGCTGGCCCACTTCCTTTTCAAATCACAAATTTATTTCTTCAATGATACACTATCTGATATATATTATATATCATATATTATAAATAAAATTATATCAAATATATATACATATATATATAGATATACTAGTTCTTGCAGACCGTGAAACAATTGATGCTTTTAGAAAAACAAATCTTTTAAGAAATGCATTTAAAAAAATCTGAAAAAGTTGCTTTTCTGTCTTTGAGGACTGAGATTTCTGGATGGTAATATCAATAATCCACATGAAAAGCAAATTAGCATGCTAGAAAGTTCATCTTTACTAATACTTAATATTTACTTAGCATAGTGTAAGTTACAGTTATTTTGTATAATTTCTGGGAGAAAACTGGTTGAAGATGAAAATCCTGTATGTCTACTTTCCTAAACATTATTTCTTCCATTTTAAGGAATTATTGTATAGAAATAAATATATTTTGAATATATCTATTTTTTTTGGAACATACAATGGCAAGTGGGACATATATATATGTACATGTGTGTATACATGTACACACATATGTACATGATTCTGCCTAGAAGAGGCATGAAAGAGAATTTCTAACTTCAAGGCAGTGTCAGGGAAGGTTTCACAGAGGAGGTGGCATTTCAGCTAGGTGTTGAAGTACTGGTTCAAGTTCAATGGCTGGAAATGGCGAGGAGGATATACCAAGTTAAGGAAATGTTGGAAAGACATCACAGGATGCTACAGGGTAGAATAATTGGTGAATGGTACTGTAAAACAATGTTAGAAAGATATCAATTAAAAAAAAACCCTTCCATTTTGTTAACATTTTCTTTTCTAGATAAACAATTTCTAACATTATTTTACAGTACCGTTCACCAATTATTCTACTCTCTAGCATCCTCTGATGTCTTTCTACCATTTCTTTAACTTGGTATGTCCTTCCCGCCATTTCCAGCCATTGAACTTGAACCAGTACTTCAAGACCTAGCTGAAAATGCCACCTCCTCCGTGAAACCTTCCCTGACACTGCCTTGAAGTTAGAAATTCTCTTTCATGCCTCTTCTAGGCAGAATCATTAAAAAATTATCAAGAAGACTGAAAAATGGATTATATCCCCTGTTAATGATTAACCCCTGCCCTAAGTGTGTGATGTGCCTTCTGATATTAGCTAATAATAGCATAAAACCATTATGACTAGCAAGATTCTTAAGAACTAAGCTTTTGTTGTCAAAAACGTTGTGTCAAATCTAAAAGTCTCATATTTACATACTTTAAAAACAATTTTCTAACCTGGTTAAAAATATTCCAAATGAAGAATTTCAGTGGATTTTTGCTTGAAATCAGGAAAGATGGAAATTTACCAATTGAATGTCAACAAAGACCTGTGGATAATTTCTGGATAGGATGAAAAAATAAGTATCATGATTTACAGTAAGCAGAGCCAATGATGTATTTTTTCTACTTGTAACTATATATATTAGTGAGGTATCTTTTTCACAAAAACTATGGAAATAAACTGAACTTAGTACATGAACTTTGCTGTGTTGCAAAATGTTAAAGATTTTTAAAAAATAAATGTTCAATAACCTTGCTTACTAAAAACCGAATATTTAGTGAGAAAAAGTTTTTGTACCATTTAAATTTATTTCACTCTTATCTCGTACTTTAAGGGTTTTTTTTGGCTTTATAATGTACACAATATATTGGCAGAGTAGTACATATACAAAACAAATAAGCGTATTTTTTATTAAAAAATTTTTTTTGCTCACAGGTGTGTATGATCCAAAAAATTTGGAGACTGATATATGTGATATTATCATGGCCTTAATAAAACCACATGACTGACCTATGCTTTCCACAAGTGAAGTGTTTTAAAGAAATGACATCAATGAAAAATTGGTTCACTGAAAACCAAGATCCAGAATTTCACATTCCAGTCTATGCCACTGATAATGCTATTCCTTATGTTATAGAAATTTGGTGCATAAGAAGTCAGTATTACATTCTCTCAGATTTGGGAAAATTTCCAGTAACTTTACCTGAGCAAAATTATCTATACTTCAATTTCTGCTCAAGTGATTATTAATTTTTCTCAAGGCACTGAGAGCACATTTTGTTAGCTTAGGCAAAGTTCACTGTTCATAATGTGCTAATTAATATATTAAGTCAAGAGCTAAGATTTTATTCTGGAGCACAGCATTCTTACTACTCTATTTGTGCAAAGGACTCTTAACTAGATTTATGTTTGACTACTACAAGATAAATGTGTCAGAACCTGGGCTTATGTAATGTGTGTTGTAAACTTTGGTATTATATGTCACCTATTATACTTTTATTATCTGAAGCTATGAAAGAAAGGCAAAAATGACTCCAAAACAGAATTCAGAAATATAATTACTATAAAATATTTCATCAGGGGTCTGTGTTGAGCAATCATAATATTAATAGCTAGCATTTACATAGTGCTTTAAGGTTTGCAAAACACTTTACAAAATTATTATCTTATTTTATTCTCCTAACCCCGGGAAGAGGAGGCTATTATCTCTACTTTACAAATGCGGCAAACAAAATTAAGTGACTTTCCTAGGATCCCATAATTAGAAATGTCTGAGATCACATTTGAACTCAGATCTTACTGACTCCAGGTCCAGCATTTTACCTACTGCCTAACACTTTGCAATATGAGAGATAAAAAAGATGAGGCAATGGTGGTAAAATGGATCAAATATCCAAATATAATTTAATTTTATTCTCAAATATGCAGGTATTACATGGTAGGCAAAAACCTGTTATGATGAATTAAGAGAAAGCATAATGTGCAGAATGAGGGAAGTGATGATGAGGTGATATTCTTTATGAACTCTGCTCTGGTCAGACTATGCCTGGAATATAATATTGATGATAATAAAAATAAATATTTCCATTTATATAGCACTGTAAGATTTGCAAAGTGTTTTACAAATATCATATTTTTTTACTCACAATAACCTTGGGAGGTAGATGCTATTATTACCTTCATTTTACAGATAAGGAAACTGAGGCAGACAGATGTTAACTGACTTACCTATGGTTATATAGCTAATAATTGTTTGAGGCAGGATTTGAAACTCAGGTTTTCTTGAGTCTAGGTCCAAGCACTTTAAACCACTGTACCACCAGCTGCCTAAGTAGAATTATGGTGTCCTATTCTGGGCAACATGGGGCAAATCTAGGGAAGTGTGGTCAGGGTGGTGATGTCTGTGTGTCTGAGGATCAGATGAAGAAAACAGAAGGGCTGAAAAAGCCTGAACAGGAGGAGATCTGACTGTCGAGGTACTTAAAGATCCGTCTTATGGAAGAAGGACTAGGTTTGTTCTCTCTGTCCTCAGAGGGCAGAACTAGAACAAAGTTGTAACTAGCAGACAACTCTACAAAGTGTGCTCTCCAAGAAACTGTGAACAAGTTCAGCTGTGGGCAAAGGAGAGGATGGAGGAGAAACCTTGGGATACAAGGCTTTAGCAGGACACAGTGAGGCTGCTGCTAGGCAAACATCCACAGGGTTGAGTGGAAAAGCATCAGTAACTTCTATGTTAACTAATTATTCTTGATAATTAGGTGTCAAGGAATGCTATTAACACCCTCTAAATCTTAGTGCCTGCCCTGTTCTCATTATGACTCCTGAATAGAAAAAAATGATAAAAGCTGTAGTGAGGGAGATTTAGATACGGAGGTAAATTTAGATGCGATGTACAGAAATATTTCCTAAAAAATTAGACTCTTCTTTGGTGGATAGTAGGGTTTCCCCTTTCTGGAGGTCTTTAACTGGAATCTGGAAGACTACTCATCAGGGACAGTGCAGAAGGGATTACTGTTTAAGGGCAGGTCAGATTACATGGCCTTTGGCCTCTTCCAAATGTGAAATTCTGTCATTGGGCTATAATTTTTTTTATGAAAATGAAGAAGTGATTTAAAAATCACATAGAAATGACACCCTAAAGCCTAGAATGATAAAAATGCACATCTTTCCAGTAAGTAATAACAATAATGAGAGCTGACATTTATATAGCACTTCAAGATTTACAAAGCACTCTATACTTACATTATTTAAATTGTGGAGAATATTCTCAACCAAATAGTTTATATTAATCATTCTGTTAATACAGACACATGATATAACTGAAAACTCAAGTTATTTATAGATTCAATAATCCCTCAAAGCTCAGACTTGGAAACTCAAATTGCAATGTGTTGAAAGTCACAGGATAAAGTCAGTCACCAGGTCAACTAAAATGAGGACAAAGACACTGGGCCTCTTTACCACAAAGTATATTGACTGAAGTCAGGCGTGGCCCCATCTGCTTAGAGACAAGAGAATGAACAGTCAAGTAATTTGAGTTCAACAGTTAGAGCAATCTACTGCATACCAGAATACAGAGTGCTTCCAAAGTCTTAGCACAGTTAGAAGCTTTAATAGCTTTATAATGGGAATAAGCTTTAATAGTGTATAA